AGTACTGACCTTCATTCATAATGCAGTTGAATCAATTTAATCCTTACACTTCATATCAGCAGAGAACGTGGGCCCGAGAAAGCACAATGAATCACTCTCCCGGAGGCTAGCTATGCTGATGGAAGGCAGAATGGGTTCGCTGAGACGATTAACAAATAGCAGTTTCGTTTTGGAAGTGCTAAAATTAACCAGCCAGCCATTCTTGATTATTTATAATACTAAGTAAGAGGCCTGATGAATTTTGAAACCCGCTGTCACTTAATATCCACTGTGTGCAACAGTAACTAGGTGTGTAAAATCTCAAAATACGAGAAAGAAATATCCGACTGTACGAAAATAAAAATCAGCGTAGAGACCGCTCTTTTTGTCGGGCCGATGTGCCGAAAAGAAGCGGAAATCAGAAGAACGGCGCATGCACGTACATCATACAAAGGCTAATTTGAAATTCAATCTTACTCTTATCTTCATCATTTTATCCCAACTTTTGACGGCTGCTTAATTGCCTACGTTAATTAGTCTCTCATAATCAGCGACTTCGGAAGCAAAGAAAATGAAACGGACCAGGCACTTGTATATTCATAAATTTACTTCAGATGTTTGATGTTGAAGATGATGCGTATCGCCTCCCTTTCTCCTCATTCTGTGTGTGTGGTGTGTGCGCGTGCGCCTATATGTCATATAGTAAGATAGTGACGCTGCCCACATTTGAGTTTGAACATAGATCGCCAGTGAGCAAACACAGGCGCTCCCATGATTGAATTAAGTAGACAACGTGAACAAAGACACATAATTAGGAATTAGCTTTGTGTCTAAATGAACGCCATTTCTACACTACCCTCTATTAATATAAGAATCACTATTTCTACACTATCCTCTATTACTATACGAATCACTATCTCTACACTATCCTCTATTACTATACGGATCACTATTCAGTATACTATTCAATATACTATTTCTGTATTCAGATCACTATTCGGTGGTTACTAGTCGAGCGAGTATTAACGAGCAAGTACTATATAATTTCTGAGTTTTATTCGAATCACTATCTCTACACCAGTTTGGTTCAACGGCATTACTTTAGTGACATCTGCGATTACAAAGTCTCTACTACAACGGGCATTATTAAAGAGACCACGAGTGTTCTTTGACATCAGAAAAGTGTCAACGAGTGTTCGTTGACATTTATATATATTTATATATATATATATATATATATATATATATATAAAAGAGACCACGAGTGTTCTTTGACATCAGAATGCAACGAGTGTTCGCACATTTTATATATATTTGCATATAAAATTTACATGTGTGTAACATGCTCCAAGTAATTTTCGACGGAAGGCACCAAAACCATGACATTGCATTTCCCAACTCTCATCGATAGTGGAAATAATCGAGTTTTTCATGCTTCTACGGCAGTTTTCATGTAGTTTGCGGCCATTTTCTACTGGCCAGAGTGAAAGTCAATAGCTGGCTGCCACGAATAAGCAGGAAGATTCTATTGGCCAGCATGAGAGCCAACAGCTGACTGACACGAATGTTAACTAGCATGCTAGCATGCAAAAAAAATCGATTGCTGCATTTGTCACAAGTGGGAAAAAATTAAATCTGGATGGCACTTTACTCCAATTGGCCCATTCGCTTGCTTAAACTGAACGTTGATTCTGATTCCGCAGAACTGAGTTGGGTGTGAAAAAGTATTTGTTGTTAACATTCTTTTTTCATTCGGTTTTTCCAGTTACGAGTCCTTTTTTAAAGCTGATCGTTTTGTGTTCATTTTGTTTAGTTCTTTTTTCGTAACAGATTTAATGTTTAGTATAGAGCTTAGAAAAAATTCGCAGTGTGAGATAGGCAAGAAGTAAGACATGTAGCAACATCAGCACGGCAAAGGGCACTCCTTTAAAGGCAAGGAAGGGCAAAAATATTTTAAGTCAAGTGATAGCGATTGCTGTATGAGTCGTACGATTTTTTGAATCAAGCACGGGCAACGCCGGGCCATGCTACTGTTATATATATATATATATATATATATATATATATATATATATATATATATATATATATATATATGGTGCGATGGATAAATTATTGTCTAGGTTACAAAAAAAATGAAAATACTCTAACATCTCATTCTAACAGATATATTTACCAAAATGACACAAAAATACTACAAAGTAAATTTATTCAATAAAATCGCCATTGGCGTCAACCACGGTCACCAGACAACTTCGGAATCGCCTGAAAATTCTTCTGGACTCCCTTCATGTTTAAGTGGATGAATGCTGCCATAATCTTTGACTTCACTTCATCTTTGGTGTTTCAAGGTGTTTTGTTGGTCACTCGCTCAAGTGCGTCCCCCACATAAGGAAGTAGCAATCTGGGGAGTTACGTGGCCTGATGTAAGGGGTGATCTTGTCGCAGAAATTGTCTGAGAGCCATAACTGGTTTCTAAGCACACACAGGCGTATCGATAAAACAATATTTACTTTGAAGAAGTCCTTTCCTGGGACATAACTCATAACGCAGAATTTTTGGGACTAGTTTATCATTCAGTTACCCATTGTTAGCCTTGTATGTAGATTTGTATGTCATATCTTCCACACACGAAGATATATATATATATATATATATATATATATATATATATATGTATGTATGTATATATTCGCGGTCTGACGATTGCGTCCAGCATGAAACAGCCTGTCACCTCTGAGTGTTGACTTCAATGTTCACTTTTACATACGCTCTATCTCTGATATTGAGGACTTTATCCTATAAATATAGCACACATTAAAACTATATTTCTTCATATATATATATATATATATATATATATATATATATATATATATATATATATATATATATATATATATATATATATATATATATATATGAAATTAACCCTCCCTATACTCTACCTTTTTCTCGTTAACTACAACTCTCACCCTCCCTGTTAAATTACAAAAATTAGACTACCCATCAATTTCTAATCCCATTTTTCCTTTCATTTCGTTGTTGGAATTGTTACCTGATGATCCGAAATCCTTTAAAAAGGATTTTGGTGAAATAAATTATTGTAATGGTACCTTAAAATGGTGTGTTTTTTTTTAATTTTATTAATTTTATATATATATATATATATATATATATATATGTGTGTGTGTGTGTGTGTGTCTGTGTGTGTGTGTGTGTGCGCGCGCGCGCCTGTATGTGTGTTTATGTGTGTGTGTGTGTGTGGTTGTGTGTGGTGCAGTTACTGAAAAGTTCTCATCCCGACCAAGTATTATTATGTTTTATCATCTGACAAGGTATTTCCAAGTGGATTAGGTCGGTAATTACAGTTTCTTATTTATATAAGATAAAATAATAAAAAAATCTTAATCCACGTATAATATACAGACTTTGCTAGCATTGTGGTAACCGGATATTTTTTTTTTTTATGAAAATTTAAATAATTTAACGGTAAATCTCTATCCAGCACCTGATGACTGAGTCATGTATAAAACTCCGAATTTTGCTACTGGTGAGGGATAATCCGTACATTTATTATATATATACTTAATAATTAGTTAATTACATCAAGCAGTATTTTATTAATACCAGCACTCTGTGTGTTTCGTTTTGGTTTATTTTGTTTTATGGCATATCAACACCTCAATGGGTTATTTAATGCCGACAAAATTTTTTATTGCAGATAATATTTTGTTTTCTCAAGAATCTGTTTCTGGTTATATTTTTCTTTCAAAATGTCTGGAAATAATTTTTTTTCAAAAATCGTTTTGCTGGTAATAGTTAACTATTTGCTCATAGCTGGGACCCTAACAGGTGCTACCACCCCGGGTCAAGGTGGACCTGGGAACACAAGCAATTAAGAGGTGGTTCCACGCTCCTCAAAACCTCCTAATCAGAGGGATTGCTGTTAGACGTAGTTTATCGCCTCATCCAGGAAGACACTCTGTGTGTGACATCTTTATATATATATATATATATATATATATATATATATATATATATATATATATATATATATATATATATATAGGTGATGAGATTTTTTTTCGCGATGGGCTTTGAGTAAAATTCTATATATTTTGAATAAAATTTCATAAGTTTTGATGTGATGAATATTTCGAAGATTTCTTGAATCTAGATTTCGTCAAATAAATTCCGAACCCCCTGTATTTTATTAATACCAGAACTCTATCTCTATGTGACATATATATATATATATATATATATATATATATATATATATATATATATATACAATGAATCATGCATACAAAAAGTAGATTAGTAGATATATATATATATATATATATTACAATGAATCATTCATACAAAAAGTTGATTAGTAAAATTAATGATATAAAATGGCGAAATCTCCTCGCAAACCGAAATATTAAAGTTGCATTAACCTACGAACGACTCGATGAATGTTATGATCCTTGTTTTTAATAACTAAAAGCTGTATAAGGTCTTTTTTAATCTCTAAGTACCTTCAACTGTACATACAGTCATCCTCAGGCATGGAAATTATTTTGTTTTTAGTAAACCCAGGTAGCAATGAATATTTTTTCTGGGTCTATACATTCTTTCTTACTAAAGAATGTGTAGAGCCAGGAAGAGAAAAGGAAAAATTAATGATATCAGGTTAAAGGAATCACTGAAATAAAGAAAAATCAAAGAAACAAGAGAAAAGAAAGAAAGAGTTAAAGAATAAAAATGAAGATGCAATAAAAAATACAGAAAAAGAAAGAAAGAAAACGAAAGCATCGTTCGAATGAAAGAAAGAAAGCAATGTTATTAAAAAAGAAAGAAAGGAAAAAAGAAAGGAGGAAAAAAGGAATGCTATTAAGAAAAAAGAAAGAAAGCATGGTTAGAAAGAAAGAAAGAAGGAAGGAAGGGAGGAATGTTATTAAGAAAGAAAGAAAGGAAAAAAGAAAGGAGGAAAAAAGGAATGCTATTAAGAAAAAAAAAAGAAAGCATGGTTAGAAAGAAAGAAAGAAGGAAGGAAGGAAGGGAGGAATGTTATTAAAAAAGAAAGAAAGGAAAAAAGAAAGGAGGAAAAAAGGAATGCTATTAAGAAAAAAGAAAAAAGCATGGTTAGAAAGAAAGAAAGAAGGAAGGAAGGGAGGAATGTTATTAAGAAAGAAAAAAAAGAAAAAAGAAAGGAGGAAAAAGGAATGCTATTAAGAAAAAAAAAAAAGCATGGTTAGAAAAAGAAAAAGAAGGAAGGAAGGAAGGAGGAATGTTATTAAAAAAAAAAGAAAGGAAAAAAAAAGGAGGAAAAAGGAATGCTATTGAGAAAAAAGAAAGAAAGCATGGTTAGAAAGAAAGAAAGAAGGAAGGAAGGAGGAATGTTATTAAGAAAGAAAGAAAGGAAAAAAAAAGGAAGGAAAAAAAGGAATGCTATTAAGAAAAAAAAAAAAGCATGGTTAGAAAGAAAGAAAGAAGGAAGGAAGGAAGGAGGAATGTTATTAAAAAAAGAAAAGAAAAAAAAAAGAAAGGAGGAAAAAAAGGAATGCTATTAAGAAAAAAGAAAGAAAGCATGGTTAGAAAGAAAGAAAGAAGGAAGGAAGGAAGGAAGGAAGGAAGGAAGGGAGGAATGTTATTAAGAAAGAAAGAAAGAAAGAAAGAAATCATGTTTATTAAGAAAGAAAGAAAAAGAAAGAAAGAAAGAAAGAAAGAAAGAAGGAATGTTAAGAAAAAAGTAGGAAAGCATGGTTATTAAGAAACAAAAAAAGAAAGAAGTAATGTTATTAAGAAAAAAGAAAGCAAGTATGGTTATAAAGAAAGAAAGAAAGAATGAAAGACGGAATATCATTAAGAAAGACAGAAAGCATGGTTATTAAGAAAGAAAGAAAGAAAGAAAGAAGGAAGGAAAGAATGAATGTTATTAAGAAAAAAGAAAGAAAGTATCGTTATTAAGAAAGAAGGAAAGACAAGAAATGTTGTTAAGAAAAAAGAAAGAACACATGGTTATTAATAAAAAAAGACGGAATTTTATTAAGAATAAAAGAATGGAAGCATGGTTATTAAGAAAGAAAGAAAGAAAGAAAAAAGAAAGAAAGAATAAATGTTAATAAGAAAAAAGAAGTAATTTTATTAAGAATAAAAATAAAGAAACCATGGTTATTAAGAAAGAAAGAAAGAAGTAAGGAATGTTAAGAAAATAGAAAGAAAATCTGAAACCATAGAAGGAAATCAAGCATGATTATTAAGAAAGAAAGAAAATAAAAATGGAATAAGTTGAAGAATCTAACAGAAGAAATAAAGAATGAAATAAATAAACACTATGAATATAAAAAGAAAGAAAGAAAAAATGAAAAGGAAAAGGGCGAAAGATTGAAGAGAAACCAAATTATAAAATAAGAAAGTATTAAATAAAGAAAGAAAAGAAAACATAAGTAAAGACATGAGAAAAGGAAGAAAGAGAGATAAAAAGAAAATTAAGGAGAAGAAAGAAAGAAAGAAACAAAGAAAGAAAGGAAGAAAAAGATTAAAACAATATGAATATATAAAAAAGAAAGCAAGAAAGAGACAAAGAAAGAACAAATCAGGAAAAGAAAAGAAGATAGAAACAATATGAATATGTACAGAAAGAAAGAAAGAAAGAAAGAAAGAAAGAAAGAAAGAAAGAAAAAAAAAGAAAGAAGAAAGGAAAAAGGCGAAAGACAGAAGAGAAACCAAATTATAAAAATGAATAAGTAATAAATAAAAAAAAAAAAGAAAAAGGAAAAAGGCGAAAAAGAGACCCGGATATAAGAGAAACCCGGATATAAGAATTTTCTCTGGTCCCAAATTAGAGCCAAATTAATGTAAAAAATGAATAAACCCGGAATAAATAAAAAAAAAGAGATTTTCAAAAAATTAAAGAAAATGTATATAAAATAAAAAAATAAGAGAAACCCGGATATAAGAGATTTTCTCTGGTCCCAAATTAGAGCCTGTGATGTATATAAAATAAACCAAACCCGGATATAAGAGAAACCCGGATATAAGAGAGATTTTCTCTGGTCCCAAATTAGAGCCTGTGTTAATGTATATAAAATAAACCAAACCCGGATATAAGAGAAACCCGGATATAAGAGAGATTTTCTCTGGTCCCAAATTAGAGCCTGTGTTAATGTATATAAAATAAACCAAACCCGGATATAAGAGAAACCCGAATATAAGAGACTTCTTCTCCGGTCCCAACAACTCCCTTATATCCGGTTTACACTGTAGATAAAAAGAAAAGATTAAAAAAAGGAGAAGAAACAAAGAAAAAACAAAAATAGGAAAAAAATGACAAATAAGTAGAAAAAACGAAAACAAATGAGAGCCGGAAGAAGAAAAAAAAGATTGCTAGCCATTTAAAGAAGGCCGAAGAAAGAAAAGAGAGCGTTTTGTGTTTGTGGTTTTTGTCTTGTGTCGAATAAACGGTCATTTTTCTTTCGTGTCTTAAGCCGTCAAATCTTGTTGCAGCTCGCCATGATTTAAAAAAAAAGAAGAAAAAAGAAAAGTCATCCTCGTTCGATTCCTCTCTTTTGACATCATGCCTTATTAGGAGAGAAAAGGTGAACTCTTGTGTGCCTGGAGACAGCCTTTTCATGTCGGACATCATCTTCGGTGACGGCTAGTCCCTTGACACCGGCTGCCCGTGTTCATAATGTGGTGATTGTTACACTTAGCACCGGCTGGTGAATTTCACGTCTTTAAATGTTTCAAGTTAGTTCTAATTAGTGTAGAGAAGAACAGCAATTAGAAGTCGGGAAAGGGACGGAATGCAATGGCACCGGGTGAGTAGTGTAAATAAATAAATAAATAAATAAAGATTATGGGAAAAGAAAGAAAGAACGAAAGAATATGGGAAAAGAAAGAAAGAAAGAACGAAAGAATATGGGAAAAAGAAAGAAAGAAAAGAAAGAAAGAAAGAAAGAATATGGGAAAAAAGACGAAAGAAACAATATGGAAAAAGAAAGAAAGAATATGTGAAAAGAAAGAAAGAATGAAAGAAAGAAAGAAAGAAAGAGAGAGAAAGAAAGAAAGAATATGTAAAAAGAAAAAAGAATATGGGAAAAGAAAGAAAGAAAGAAAGAAAGAATATGGGAAAAGAAAGAAAGAAAGAAAGAGAGAAAGAAAGAATATGGGAAAAGAAAGAAAGAAAAAAGAAAGAAAGAATATAGGAAAAGAAAGAAAGAAAGAAAGAATATGGAAAAGAAAGAAAGAATATGTGAAAAGAAAAAAGAATATGGGAAAAGAAAGAAAGAAATAAAGAAAGAAAGAAAGAAAGAATATGGGAACAGAAAGAAAGAAAGAAAGAAAGAAAGAAAGAAAGAAAGAAAGAAAGAAAGAAAGAAAGAATATGTGAAAAGAAAAAAGAATATGGGAAAAGAATGAAAGAAAGAAAGAAAGAAAGAAAGAAAGAATATGGGACAATAAAGAAAGAAAGAAAGAAAGAAAGAAAGAATAAAGAAAGACTGACAGACAGATAAGGCGTTGGTGTCAGCATCTAGACAGGTTAAGAAAGAATGAAAAAATATAAGAAAAAAGAGACAAAAGAAAGAAAGAAACAAACAAGAGAAAGAAGGAAAAAATGAAAGATATTACAAGAAATGTGCAAACCGTTAAAAAAGAAACAAAAGAAAGAAAGAAAGAAAGACAAAGCGTTGATGTCAACATCTAGACAGGTTAAGAAAGAAAGAAAAAATGTAAGAAATATGTCAACTTGAAAAAAAAAAGAAAGAAAAATAAAGACAGAATAGATGAAATAAAGAAAGGAAGAAAATACATAAAAATGCGGTATTAAAGAAAAAAGAATGAGTGAAAGAAAGACAAGGTATTGACAGCAACTTCTAGACTGGTTCGGAAAGAAAAAAAGAGCTGTTGTAAGGAATATGTAATCTGGTAAAGAAAGTAAGAAGAAAAGAAAGGAAAAAGAAAGAAAGAAAATGGAAATAAATAAAAAGGAAATATAACGAAGCTAGGAAGAAAAAGCGGAGACGAAAGAATAACGGGGGGAATCTTTCTTTTTTTCTCTCTCTCCATATATATATATATATATATATATATATATATATTTGTGTGTGGAAGATATGATATACAAATCTTTATACCAGACTAACTGAATGTTAAGCTGATCAGAAATAAGTTATAAGTTTCGTCCCATGAAAGGATTTCTTCAAACTAATTGTTTTATCGGTACACATATGTATATGTGTGTACTTAAATAAATTATTTACACTCGGTGCGTTAAACTGAAAGAACAATTTACAGAGAAATTATTTCATAATTTTTGTGAATTTATATAGACTCATAATATTATTAGTTGTAAAATTATCATGATTTTTATTCATTTTAGACATTATTATTATTATTATTATTATTATTATTATTATTATTATTATTATTTCCTTTGATTTCTGGTGTATAGACATTTTCTTCCGGGTCCCAAACAGAGGTCTAAGGTCAGAAATCGCTCCCTGACCTTTTCTGCTGATCATTTTTATAAAAAAAATAAAAATAAAAACCTCAAATCATTCACATAAACAAATTAGTAATGGGTGAGCTGTACTTGTGAGTAGAATTTTTTGTATTTCTTTAAGGCATGGGCTTCCAGGAATCCTTTCTATTGAGTCTATTGAAATCATTTCTAATCAATCCGAGGGCTCCAACTGCAACAGGAATTGTTGATGTTTCCATGTGCTTTTTGAAGATCTCCAAAGATACATTGCAGTCTGCAGGGACTGCTATTAGGTCGGTGCAAAAATAATGTCGTTTTTTGACGTAAAGTTGAATGTCAAAAACGACATTATTTTTGCACCAACCTAATATATCAAGAAGGAGGCATTTTTCGTTTTTGTTTGCGGTTGCTAATCACGATATCTGAGCGATTGTTCTGTCTGTGTTGTGAAATTATTATTATTATTATTATTATTAACAGTTAAGAGAAGAGTGCGATTTACAAAACGAAAAAGAAATGAAAAACAGTGTTTCACAATGTTAAACAATATTTCAAGTAACATTTTAAAAGTTTTTCAATTAAAAGAATATATAAATCCGCAAAAACTTGTAAGACTTTGTACAAATGTTGTTTGTCTTCTAATGGAAAAACGGATGTAATGGTAACCAATGCGTCGAAACGAATGAAACGCCGCCAGCGTGAAGGAATGCAACTGAAACGTGCTTAATATGATGGTGAATTTTTCCGTTAATTGATTAGTTACTAAGAGGAATTAATCAAACAGCTTAGTGTAAATCTTATGGAACTCTCCTGCCATTCTGTTCATTATTCTTATTCTTTGTTGAGACGTTTCGACCTTTAGGTTTTTCCTCAGGATGATATAGATAAACTTTAGAGAATATCGAATGGAATCTTTTATTTAAGCTACGTGAGTATATTATACTTATTCTGTTCTCAATGTCTAGTTTTATTGCTTACCTTGTTTCCATTTAATCTAAGTCTTTACTACCGGGCTCAAGGATTGAACGTACAATTATTAACTGTCTCTATCTCTGAGATGCGCTATTATGATTATTTACATTATTCGGACTGTTATCCTCATCGTTATTGCCATATTCACAACGTTTCGGCCGTTGTACGCGCCTGCCTTCTTCAGGTGATTGGAATTTCATCCACCGGGGGTAGATTCTTCTAGTTCCACACACCATGCGACTTCCGGTTATTTCCCTTTATTCAACTCTCCAAGTTTTTTTGGTTCACCACTGCTTTAGCCTGTTATTGAACTCACAACTATCCGATGGATGAAATAAAGGGTTCGATTCGATATTCCAATCACATGAAGAAGGCCATAGCTTACTACGTCCGAAATGTGAACATATCAATGAGGATGAGGATAACAGTCCTAATAATGTTAGTAATTTATACAATTAATAAGTTACTGTTATGGTAATTTACCCACGCAGGCATGGACTCTCCCAACTATAAATAGGAGCAGGTACTGCCTTTTGAGGAGGGAAGTTTCCAGCAGTCAGCTCTGACAGTCGGACCGAACATTCTTGCTGTAACACTCTCGTTTGTATATGTTTGTATTACTGTTTTTTTCTGTTAATATATTTGTTTAACTCAATTCCTCTCTTTGTACACGATTTACATTATTCGGGCTATTGTCCTCATCTTTGTCGCTATGTTTCTCACTACGTTTCGGCCGTTGTACGCTCCGGCCTTCTTCAGGTGGTTGGAATATCGAACTGAACCCTTTATTTCGATCACTAGGGTAGACTGTTCTAGTTCCTCGTGCCATATCTAATGGATGTCAGCTATCTCCTGTCAATTCCCCTCAGAAAGTTCTCTACTGCCTTAACCAGGTATTGAACTCAAACTCTTTGGGTCCTGTCACTGGATCTAACTAACGCCTTTATCTACTCTGCCATGTGTCCGAATAATGTAAATAGTGTACATAATACCTCATCTCAGATATATAGATATTGTGTCTTTGTGTCTTTATTTCTGGCCCTTACACTAACCAAATTAAAAAAAAAAAACATCGCTGTAATCCACTACTCGGATCATCAGACCCTTGAAGAAGGCCGAAGCGCCCACCAGCTAAAACGTTGTGTTAATATCATCAAAGAAGAGAACATTAATGTGTGTTCCTTTTATTTTAATTTTAGTTGTTTTCTAAACACTAGGTGGTTTTATATTATTATTAGATTAAGCATTGTCAAAAATGTTAAATTTTGGCTGGAATTTCTTTTATTTTAATTTCTGTTGCTTTTTATTGCAACTACCCATGCTGTTATTCTACTGACGCTAGTAATTAGTACAGATTAGTAATAAGAAATAATTCGAACACTAATTCCTTTTAACTTCGCGAACGACAGCTGCTTGATCGTTTAAGCTACCGGAAACAACATAGCTGAATATGAAATCTTGCAATGCGAACGCAGTCTTTAGTTCGCTACTTTATTTTATTTTTTTTAAGCATTTCACCTCCAGCAAGGTGGGAGTGACACTAACAGGCTGGGGTTTACAGAGAGTGAAAGTGAGGGGGAAAAATTAAGTAAGGGGGGAATGAGGAAATGATTAAAGAAGAACGGGAATCAAGGCAACAGATGACAATTGACGTTGCATTTAAATTTTTGAAGATTGTAGTTATCAGGGAAACAAGTAAGCGGAAGGGAGTTCTAATGTTGGGAAGTGCGAAAAAAGAAGCTGTTGGAATAGAAGTGGCGATAACATTTAACTATTTCAGCATTAAAATGATGGGACCTAGATGCCAATCTAGTAGCACGCTTAAATTCATGTAGTCAGGTCATCAGGGAATACAGCTCGTCAGAACAGTAGTCATGAAAATATTTGTAGAAAAGACAGAGGGAAGCCACATCACGTCTATGAGAAAATGGCTGAAGTGGAGATGTCAAGTATGGAGCGTTTACATTGCAGATGATCTTTGGATTTTGTCGGGAACCTTGGGATGAACAGTAGGGGCGCCGGACTAGATATGGCAATAATATTCTATGCATGGACGAATGGTAGATTTGTAGGTTTGTAAGATGTACTCTAATGAGAAAAAAAATCTTGTGTCACGGCACAGTGAACCGACATTCCTTGCAGTAGATGCAGCTATTTATTCAACGTAGTTGTCTCACCTCAAGTCATTGGAAAGCGTGAAGCCAAGGAGGCGCCGTGAGACACTCTCACGGAGTCGAGCAATGATGATGGGGGGAGGGAAATTTCTTTGTGGCTGTTAAATGAGAGCAGTTTAGTTCTGGCGTCGTTAAAATTTACAAGTCATATTTCTTAAAACTTTTAACATAAGCTTTTTCTTTGCCAATGCACTTAACCCAGCAATTTACTATAGATGACACAAAAACCGAAAATTATGCAATCGAAATTTCAGATTCAATTTCGGCTAATTACTTTATCAGGCTACAAACTTATTGATCGACCTTCGTATCTACAGATGGAATTTTTAAACTAGACTGACAGAGGCGATTAGTATGTTCGCTGTGAAAACTATACTTAGCAAGTTCGTTCCCCTTTGGGAGCCCTGACCGTGGAGCAAGGGTGAGCAAGATGGGCTGGACCGACCATTACTACATTTAAGGAAAATAAAGAATTGCAAAAAGGAAACAAAAAGCCCTACTTAAGCATCAAATAAACAAACAAATAAATAAAATAGACAAATGTAAAGTCGAAAAAGTGAGCGGAACATCGTTGTCAAGATGGCCGTGTAAGCTGACACCCCTTGGCATAAAATAGATTACCAAGAAAATATTGACGATAATGGCGGACAACCAGCGACATTTATTACTTGCATCCCGCGTTCCTATCACGAATGATCGTCGTCTTTAAAGATGTTTGTTTCTCCTATTTGTGTTAGGTGCTTCCCCACTAACCACTATAAGGATCCATTAGTTCTTTTTTGTTGTACGTCTTTCTTTCTTTTCTTTTCTTTCTTTTTCTTTCTTTCTTTCTTTCTTTTTTTTCTTTCTATTCCTTTTTCTTTCCGTTCTTCATTCATCTTTTTCATTCATTCATTCTTTCTTTCTTTCTTTTTCTTTGCTTTCTTCGTTCATCTTTTTCCTTCCTTCATCCATTCTTTGTTTCTTCCTTTCTTTCTTCCTTTTTTTTTCCCCTCCTTGTTTCATTTCTTGTTCCTTTCATTTTTCTTCACTGAGTCTTGTTTATTTTTGTTTCTTTCTTTCTGTTTTCATGCGTTCTTTCTTTCTTTCTTTTTCCTTTCCTTTCTTCATTCATCTTTTTCATTCATTCATTCATTCATTCATTCATTCTTTCTTTCTTTTTTTTTGCTTTCATCATTCATCTTTTTCATCATTCATTCATTCATTCATTCATTCTTTCTTTCTTTTTTTTTTTTCTTTCATTTCTCATTCCTTTTTCATTCATTTATTCAGTCTAACTTTTTTTTTTTCTTTGTTTCATTCTTTTTTTTTCATTCATCCATTCTTTCTTTCTTTTTTTTTCTTTCTTTCATTTTCATTTTTTCATTCATTTTTCTTTCTTTCTTTTTTTTTCTTCTCTTTTTTTGTTCCTTTCCATTTTTCATTCTTTTTTTTTTGTTTCTTTCTTTTCTTTCTTTTCTTTCTTTCTTTTTCTTTTCTTTCTTTCTTTTCTTTTTCCTTTTCTTTTCCTTTCCTCATTCATCTTTTTCATTCTTTCTTACTTTCTTTTTTCTTTCTTTTTCTTTGCTTTCATCATTCATCTTTTTCATTCTTTCTTTCATGATTTCTTTCTTTTTTTTCTCCTTTCTTCATTTTTCGTTCCTTTCATTTTTATTCACTCTAACTTGTTTTTATTGTTTCTTTCTTTTTGTTTTCATTCATCCATTCTTTCTTTCTTTCTTTCTTTTTCTTTCTTTCTTTCTTTCTTTCTTTCTTTCTTTCCATTCCTTTTTCTTCCCTTTCCTCATTCATCTTTTTCTTTCTTTCTTTCTTTCTTTCTTTCTTTCTTTCTTTCTTTCTTTCTTTCCATTCCTTTTTCTTCCCTTTCCTCATTCATCTTTTTCTTTCTTTCTTTATTTCTTTCTTTCTTTCTTTCATTCTATTCCTTTTCCTTTCCTCATTCATCTTTTTCATTCTTTCTTTTTTTTTTTCTTTTTTTTTCTTTTCTTTGCTTTCATCATTCATCTTTTCATTCTTTCTTTCATGATTTCTTTCTTTTTTTTCTCCTTTCTTCATTTCTCGTTCCTTTCATTTTTATTCACTCTGACTTGTTTTTATTGTTTCTTTCTTTTTGTTTTCATTTCATCTTTCTTTCTTTCTTTCTTTCTTTCTTTTTCTTTCTTTCTTTCTTTCTTTCCATTCCTTTTTCTTCCCTTTCCTCATTCATCTTTTTCTTTCTTTCTTTCTTTCTTTCTTTCTTGTTCTTTTCATTTTTCTTCACTGTGCCTTGTTTATTTTGTTTCTTTCATTCTGTTTTCATTCATTCTTTTTTCCTTCTTTCTTTTCTTCTTTCAGTTTATTTGGCTTTTTCGTCTTGGGATCATGTTTCTTATTTTTTCATTCAATTTCTCACTTTTCTTCCACTTAATATGTTCTTCCTTTCTTCTTTCTGTCTTTCTTTAGGTTTATTGGATTTTTTTCTTCATAATTTTCATTCTTTTTCTCACATTTCTTTCTGCTTTACATTCTTTCTTTATTTCTTTCTTTCTTTCGTTTTTCATTCATTCATTCTTTTTTATTTGGCTTTTTTTTCCTTGGGATCTTTCTTCTTATTTTTCATTCAATTTCTCACATTTCTTCTATTTAAACACTCACTTTTATTTTTCTCCTTTTTCATTCAATTCTTCAGGCTTCCTTTGTTTAATTTCTTTATTTTTTTATCAGTGTAAATTATGTCTACCGGCTTGTGCATTCGAGAATACCTTGCGGAAGAGCATATTTTTCTTTATTAAGTCTCTCGAATGTGCAGGCCGGCAGATGAAATTCATGTTGCTTATAACCCCCACCCCCAACAACAACAAAACAACAACACACATACTAAGCTTCTATTCAAACTTGTGTAAACACTAAAATAACATTTTGTGTAATAAGAAAAAAATGTCAGATCTAAAATAAAATCCATTATTTAAAGAGAAAGGCGTGAATGTCTCTTCTTACCTCCCAAGATATGGGTTAAATAGCAAAGTAGACTGAGCTTTCTAGCCTTGCATTTCAGCCAGATTAATAGGCAAAAGGGAACGGCTCCATTATGTTTCCAAAGAATGTCGTGTAATTAGGTAATAAAGTAAATTAATTTCTATGGAATCATTATAGCGTATATCCTTAAGAAACAAAATATTCCTTTCTATTGATACTAGATTTCACTCAATACAAGTCCCTGGAGCCACTCAAGCTAGAGCAATATTGAATAGGCTTTCTGATATGAATGTAACAGGACGTAATATGAAGTGTAGATTATGATTCTAGATAACGACCCTTGACTTGAGGAGGTTAAGATTGTCGTATTCAGGAAAGTATTCACGACGATGTCTTTCACAAAGTAGCAGTTCGTCAGAATAATGTAATAGGAACATTCTTATAAAAATTGAAATACGAAAGTAATGATTCGACTTCGAGGAAGAAGTTAAACTTATATGAACTGTAAAGATCTGAACTGCTGGAACTGGGAAGAAGGCGAAGGATAAAGGAAAACGAGATAGCTAAGCGAGTCCAATAACGAAAGTCGAAAGCACAAGAAAGAATCATTTGAGAACTCAAGAGAAACATTTTCTGGATGTAAACATCAACGCCATATATATATATATATATATATATATATATATATATCTTGGAATCTTTCCGACAAACAGGAAAATAGGATTAATAAGCTAGAAAAGAGAATCCATTGTTTCTTTTTTTCTCATTTCCTTTTTCTTTCTTTTCTTGTTTTTTTATTTATTTTTTTTATTTTTTTGCTTAAATTTCTTAATTCCTTCCTTCATTTTTTCTTTCAATACATTTTTGTAGTAATGTCTCTCTAGTCATGTCTTTCTTTCTTTCTTTCTATTGAACTTTCTTTTTATTGAACTCTCTCTCTCTCTCTCTCTCTCTCTCTCTTTTCTTCTTTAATCATTTTTTCTTCCTTTGTTTCTTTCTTTCTTTCTTTCTTTCTTTCTTTCCTTCCTTGCTTTCTTTCCTTCCTTCATCTATTTGTTACTTTATTTTTATTCAACTATAACAGCTCTTTCTCTGTATATCTATCTCTTTATTTCTCAACGACTGGCTTTTATTCCTAAATCCTTTATTTCTTTCAAAGATTCATTTATTTGTTATTTTAGATTTTTGTATTTATTCATTATTCAGCTCTTTCTCTGTATATATTTATTACTTTCTTTAGTTCTCAATATTCTGAGATGAGGTATTTTATTCCTAAATCCTTTATTTCTTTCAAAGATTTGAAGTTTTGTATCTGTCTATATTTCTGAGATGAGGTATTATGTACATTATTCACATTATTCGGCTATTGTCCTCATCTTTGTCGCCATATTTATTACAAAGTTTCGGCCTTTCAGTATCTGTATATTTCTGAGATGAGGTATTATGTACATTATTTACATTATTCGGACTATTGTCCTCATCTTTGTCGCCATATTTATTACAACGTTTTGGCCTTTCAGTATCTGTCTATATTTCTGAGATGAGGTATTATGTACATTATTTACATTATTCGGACTATTGTCCTCATCTTTGTCGCCATATTTATTACAACGTTTTGGCCTTTCAGTATCTGTCTATATTTCTGAGATGAGGTATTATGTACATTATTTTACATTATTCGGACTATTGTCCTCATCTTTGTCGCCATATTTATTACAACGTTTCGGCCTTTCAGTATCTGTCTATATTTCTGAGATGAGGTATTATGTACATTATTCACATGATTCGGCTATTGTCCTCATCTTTGTCGCCATATTTATTACAAAGTTTCGGCCTTTCAGTATCTGTCTATATTTCTGAGATGAGGTATTATGTACATTATTTACATTATTCGAACTATTGTCCTCATCTTTGTCGCCATATTTATTACAACGTTTTGGCCTTTCAGTATCTGTCTATATTTCTGAGATGAGGTATTATGTACACTATTTACATTATTCGGACTATTGTCCTCATCTTTGACGCCATATTTATTACAACGTTTCGGCCTTTCAGTATCTGTCTATATTTCTGAGATGAGGTATTATGTACACTATTTACATTATTCGGACTATTGTCCTCATCTTTGTCGCCATATTTATTACAACGTTTCGGCCTTTCAGTATCTGTCTATATTTCTGCGATGAGGTATTATGTACATTATTTACATTATTCGGACTATTGTCCTCATCTTTGTCGCCATATTTATTACAATGTTTCGGCCGTTGTACGCTCCGGCCTTCTTCAGGTGGTTGGAATGTCAAACTGAACCCTTTATTTAACTCACTGGGGTAGACTGTTCTAGTTCCACGTGCCATGTCTAATGGATGTCGGTTATCAGTTATCTCCTGCTTAATTCACCTCTCAAAGTTCTCCAACGCCTTAACCAGGTATTGAACTCACACTCTTTGAGTCCTGTCACTGGATCTATCTAAAGCCTTTATCCACTGTACCATGTGTCCTTGAGTAATGTTGTAATAAATATGGTGACAAAGATGAGAACAATAGTCCAAATAATGTAAATAGTGTAGGATTTATTTTTTTGTTTGTTTGTTTCTTTTTTCTTTCTTTCTTTTTATTCAACTGCTATTATCTATCTATCTATCTATCTATCTATCTATCTATCTATCTATCTATCTATCTATCTATCTATCTATCTATCTCAGTCTCTTCCTTATCTATCTATCTATCTATCTATCTGTCTATCTGTCTATCTATCTATCAGTATCTCGTTTTATTCGTGAATCATTTTTCCCTCTTTCTTATTTTCAAAGAATTTATTGCAAAGACCTTCGTTTTCATTTGATACTTTCTTTTTTATCACTTTCTTTCAAAAAACTTTTTCTTTCAATGATATTTGCAGGGAATTTCTTTTTTTCTCTATAAATACTATTATATCTCTTTCACACGTTTTTTCCCTCCTTTTCTCTATTCATAAACCCTTTATCGCCTTCTTTCTTTCAAAGAATTTTTTTTAAAGAATTCTTTCTTTCTTTTTCCTTTAAACGGAAACTTTAATTTTTCGACCATTCCTTCCTTTACTTGCTACTATAGCTTATATCAATCAGAAACACTCTTTTCTCATTAGCATCAAACTCTTTGGCGATCACTCCCCTCCCCCACAAAAGAAATTTCTGGAAAAAAAAACTGCAAGCTTAATTACACACAAGACAACTTTATATTTATTTCCATTTTCAGCTACAATTTCTTGTTCACTCAATCCCAGCATCGTCTTCGGCTTTATTTATTTATTTATTCGTTTTTATTTCGTGTCTGACGATATTTTTCCCTTTTAATATTTTTCTTTTCTTTTTCTGAAACATTTTCTTTAAATTTTGTTTCTTTAGAGTTTTTCTGATATTTTTTCCCCTCTGGTTTAAAAAGAAAATCTGTTTTCTATTTTTGTTTCCTACTTTCATTTTTTCCTATTTTTATTCCGCCTTAAAGTTCCATATTTTCACTTAAGCTTTTAATTTAACGTTGATAATAAAATACCTTTTCATTTTTTTCTTTCTTTCGAAGAATTTCTGTTTTTTTCCTTTCACGCTTTTTCTTTACTTTACTTTTTTTCTGTCTTTATTTCAAAGAATTTATTTTCTTTCTCTGTTTCTTTTCATTGCTTGTTTCTTTCTTTTCCATCATCCTTTCTTTCTTTCCTTCTTTCTTTTCCCTTATTCTTTGTTTATTCCTATTTTCTTTCTTTCTTTCTTTCTTTCTTTCTTTTTTTCTTTCTTTCTTAAAGATCTTTTGTTTGTTTGTTGGTTGGTTTCTTTCTTTCTTTCTTTCTTTCTTTCTTTCTTCTTTCCTTTCTTTCTTTCTTTTCCCCTTTCCTTTGTTTCTTCCCCTAGTTGTTTTTCTTTCTCTCTTTTCTCTATTCTTTCTTTCTTTCTTTCTTTCTTTCTTTCTTTCTTTTCCCCCCGATCTTTTGTTTGTTTGTTTGTTGGTTTCTTTCTTTCTTTCTTTTTTTCTTTCTTTCTTTCTTTGTCCTTCCGATATTTTGTTTGTTTGTTTGTTTGTTTGTTTCTTTCTTTTTTTCCCCGATCTTTTGTTTGTTTGTTGGTTGGTTTCTTTCTTTCTTTCTTTCTTTCTTTTCCCTTATTCTTTGTTTATTCCTTTCTTTCTTTCCTTTTTCCACCGATGTTTTGTTTGTTTGTTTCCTTGTTTGTTTGTTTCTTTCTTTCGTTTTTCTATCTTTTCCCCTAACCTTTGTTTCTTCCTTTCTTTGTTTTTCTTTCTTTCTTCCTTTCTTTCTTTCTTTCTTTCTTTCTTTCTTTCTTTCTCATTCTATGTTTATTCCATTCTTTTTTTCTTTCTTTCTTTCTTTCTTTAACTGATTATTCTCTTGGCCCTCTTTTTCCTTTGTCTCTCATCCTCACCTACCCATACCCACGAAATGAACTCATCACCCCTCATCTTCCGTATAAACTAAACCTTGATTATGCGCGAAT